AGTTTTCTGAAGGGAGAGCGGGGATTTGTGTATAGATCTATACGGGGGTGACACCCCACACCTGAGCTGTTCGCTACAGTTAGACTAGGCCAGTCTAGGGTGACAAAAACCTTATTCTATTCCGGCGGCGTCCCAAAGACGCAAAGACAGGCGAAATTGTCATTATTATGTATGGTTATAGCGACTCACTTAGAGGAATTAATGTTATGAAGTTTACGGAAGACCCTTCTCTTTTGCAGACAACATCGGGTTGTCTGGGAATATTCTCTATACATGCTCTTTACATTTCTCTACATTCTCTTTACCCTTTTAGTCAAATAAACAAAAACATACATGCATTAATACAAGGTCTAACACAAACATACTAAACAGTTTGTAGAAAATATCGGATTTTCTGGTGGTTTCAAAATTATACAAATCATTTTCACAAACATGCTTATGAACTCACCAACATTATATATGTTGACGTTTTTCAAAATAACTTGTATTCTCAGGAAACCGTTGAAGCAGGATGAACGAAACAAACTAATGGATATTGTGTTATATTTTGTTTCATCATACTCTTACTATTTTGGCATGTAATATTCAAATACAATACTCGATGTAAACAATGAATGTTGTTATATTACATGTGTGATGATGATGATGTTATGTTTCAATTATATTCACTGTAATGATATTTCAAGATGAAGTCACGCACAAGCCCCCGGACGTTTCCGCCGTCTGGTTCGGGGGTGTGACAAAAATAAATACAATACAACGCTATGCCATATACATAACAATATGACAGGAACAAAAAGAAACAAAGGACAACAAAGGCTTATATGTGTATCAAATGAAGGGCTTTCCAGATCAATCAACGGTTAGATTCAAGGAATTACAATCAATGAGACACAATAATTTACATCATAAACATCATAAACTCCAGTGCAAGTGGCACATAAAACACAATTCCTTTTTATCATGTTGTTAGAATATACAGGCTTTCAGCCCTACCTAGCCCGAAGCCAATACCAAAGTGATACGAGTCATGCTCTACATGGCCAAAGGCACAAAGCCAATACCAAAATCATACGAGTCATGCTCTACATGGCCAACGACATCAAAATCCAATATCAAGTAATAACCCCTTAGATCAATAACACAAGAAAGCACATTGCACATATAACACATAACATACAATTGTCCCTATATTGAACTCACTGTGTTGTAACCGAATGTGGCGATAGAATTCTGAATTCTGATGAAATTACACCATTCTCAGGCCTCTAAAACCTTCAATTATACCCCTAGAGTCCATATTTCAAATTTCATAAGCAATTACTCAACTAATCTCAAATTATGTTGTTTTCAATTTAGAAATTTTAGTTTTTGTTCTTTTTATAGTTGTTACTTGCAGATCTGTTTTACCCTTCTTAAATATCAAAATAACTAACAAATTCTAAATATTAACAAAATAAACTCTTATATCTTTCTAATGCCACTGACCTCATATTTTTATGATATTTTTATAATTTACTATGAGCTTTACAACACAACATCTCAAAGCTGTCAAAATGTCCCAAAGCTATCAAAATTCAGCCTTACTGCACTGAACATACAGCTGTTTTCACCAATCTTAAGTCCGAAATTAGATTTTGGTGTTAAAACAAAAATCAAAGTAGACATTCTTATCTTTCCAGGGATATATAGCACATATCCATAGGATTTTTCTACAATTTTTGGTGATTTTTACAAAAACAGGACAATTATACCCTTTATGATTTCATTTGACCCTTTACATGATCAAACCTCATGATCAATATCACTAAGTTCTTGTTTTACAATGATAACACTGATTATTTTAGTAATCCATGCTAATTCAAGTATAAACCATGAGTTTCATTACTAATTTTCAGTAATTACTCTTAAACCATGATTAATTCTCAAGTTTACATGTAGTTACTTGATTTCCATTTAAGATTCTAGGTTAATAACATAAACTCGTGCCTAATTTCATGAAATCAGTGGTAAACCCACTTTGATCAAACCCTAATATCTTAATAACTCACTAATTACAAAGGTTAATCCAAAAATTAAGAGTTCATACCTTGATTACTAAGCTTGATACTTCAAAAACACACCAAATCTTGATTTAATCTTCAAAACTTGTTCAAGATTGATCATGTAGGTGAAAATATCCCATAGTGATAGTGGAGAACTGAAAATGGCAGAAAAATGAGCCAAAATCATTTTTTAATGGGTAATAACCCGAGTTGGATCGGGTTTGACCCGGTTTGGGTACCCGTTTTACCCCTAAACACTAAAATTGCATAATTTTTCGCTCGGAACTCCGTTTTTTATGAGGTTTTCGTCTATATGTTTCTAACGAGATAATTTACAACTTCCAATAATAATATACCATAAAAGATCTTCCAATATAACAAGTTTTACAAATTTCCAACTTAGACGTTATACTTTCATTAACTCCGATAGTTGATTTTTTGAACAGAATCACATAAGACTTCCCCTCCACTTCCAATACCTTCGAAATAATTCTAAACTTAGTTTAACTTCAAATCTTATAAAACTATTTCTTTAGAACTCAACGCTCAAAACCATATCGAAAAATGGTTTTTTTTTTCTTAACACATATAATTTTATTCCATTATAACTACCTACTTTAAACGTTTAAAACTACATAATATCTAATAATATTCATTTTTAAACCAACAAGCATATGAAACATGATAATTGAACAAGGTTAGTAAAGTGTATGTTACATATACAAATGCAAAATTACTAATATGATTAGAATTGGAGCCAATTTGCTTGTTTTATGGTAATCTATGAACTGTTTCTGACATATAAGTAAGATATATTACATCTTAAATTCCGTAACTCTTTCTCCTTCGATCCTCATAGAATATCACTATAATAAATTTGAAAACAAAAGAGACAGTTTGCTTTAAGAGTACACCAACAAAGAAGTAGCTTAGCTCGAAGTTCATAACAGTAACTTCCCTACGAAATGTCAAGAATAGCTTGATAACAGTAACATGTGTAATAAAAGCATGGCAATATCATGGTTCTTAATTGGCCTCAGGATCAATAGCTTTCCCCATGAAATGTCAAGATCTATACAATCATAAAGTTAAAAATAAGAATATTTGCAACTATAAAATTAACTACATTCCAAATTGAACAACTTGCTAAGAACATTCTTTGGGACATTATATATATATATATATATATATATATATATATATATATATATATATATAACGGTGGTTTGGTGTAGCGGCTAGTGACATCAATAGGGCAGTATGCCATAACACCCAATGAACCCGAAGTGATAACAACAGCATCCTTAGCAACTCAGTTTCTCATTAAGGGGTTTCACTGCTTTGGACGCGGATAGAACTCAACACCATTCCCCCAGAAACCCCGAGAGAGGAAAATTGGAGTGTGCCTCCGCCCAGTTGAACTAGATCGAAGGAGAAAGATTTACGGAATTAATGTCTTAACACCTGATGGGTATTTTTGTCCTTCAGATGTTTATTTATACTTCGTTCATTTTCATTCTAAGTGGGAGTAGCAATAATAGGACTAGACTTGGGTTTTTGTCAGTCTCTTGCAAATTAATGATGTGGTAGCTTGATCATCATCATGTTCTGACTCATTATCATCGGGGAATGGAAATTCCTTTGTTAACTTATCCCCTTTTTTGGAATCATTAATTACGGGAGGAGCAACCGGAAACGAAGGAAATTCCTTACCAACTTGTTCTTTACTTTCTTATTCTAATTGGCAAAGATACTTCTTTTTTCGAGTTGATTGTTTCCGTTACCTTACTTTGTCACATAGTCCATATGAAAAGTAGCAGTTCACTATAGTATAACAAATGATTGAATTTTAAATTGTTGTTGCTTATTGTGATACCTATTCTTTATCTTCTAAGCAATCAACCTATGAAGACCAGATTTCAATTGCTTTTTTGTTTGTTTTGGAGCTTGTGACTTTTGAAGAATAGATTTTGACTCTAGATAGAAACCATACCTTTTGGCTCATAACCATGTTTGGCAATTTATTCAAAAAGTTCCTCTTCTACAAGCAATCTACCTCTGTATTTTTCATATGAATATCAAAAACAATGACTATCATAATCAAAACCAATGACATTATCCTCATCGGATGCAAATAGATGGCAAGCTCTACATGATAACCCATATCAGTGTTCGTAGTCTTTTGAGAGACCCTAACAGTACCTGTGGCTGATGAGCTATTTGATGAACCATCAGAATTAGAGGCTTTCATTTTCCCCTTGGTTCCTCCTTTACCTATTGGTTTTGAGCTTAAGGTAGGCACGTTCGGATTCGCAAGTACTCTAATACATTTTAAAAATCATTCGGGATGATGTTTAGCATAACATCAGGTACTGGTTTAGCATATGTAAACCTACTTTGTTAGCATATGTAAACCTACTTTGTTAGCATATGTAAGCCTACTTTGTTCAGTAAGTAACTTACTGAGAATCCCCTCATAACCTTGTCTTGTGGCATTATTTGACCTTTCTCATCAATAGGAATTTTATGAGTCGACACACATTAACTAAAATAACAGACCAAAAACGATGAAAAGATATTTCTAATTTCTCCCATTTGACAAAAATTATAAAATCATTCCATATAATAGTTCTATAATCTATATCAGGTCCGGTATGAACTCCGTAAAGCAAAACATAAATATACCTTTGCTATCTAAATCCAAATTCTCTGTTTGTTTTCCGAACAAACATCTTACGAACACAAAGAAAAGATGTTCCCAAATAAATGGGTAACCCTTCTTTCTAAAGTCTCAAATTCGCTCAAAATTTTTGGAAAACTGCAACCTAAACTCTTAATAAAATCAATCGATTGATTATCAATAATATCAAAATATTATTTTCTATGCATTATAATCAATTTCATAAGATCTCGCAAAATAAGATTTTCAAAGTTCGGGTTCCGTTTCTTATAAACGTCAATTTGAAAACGATCCAATATTGCATTGTAATAAAAGGTTTGATATGCATATGAACTTTAACCAGTTTGCATCAACAATCTGTTGTCATTGATTCTAATTGTGATAATGTCAAGTATATTAACTTTCACCACCTAAGTTCCCAAAACACATGAGTTCATTAATCTGATCAATTCCGATATCAGAGTAAGGCTCAATGTGTCGATCATCTTCCTCCAGCACAGAATCACAACACACAGGTTCTCTGCTGTTTTCATCTGTCAAAAATATACTTTCTTTTACCAACTTATGAAACTGACACAAAATATGCAACCACTAAAACACATTAACATGGTTAAATATTTCATCTAAAGACCACTTTGTTGCATAAATAAGAAGCCTTAAGGCAGATTAACTCACCGAATATTGAGTTGAATGATGATGGAGATGGAGTTGCCATAAAGTTGAGGCCAATGTAGAATATCAAGATTGTTGCAATGATCACCAAGGCATAAGCAGGAAGTGCCAATGCCCAGTACCTAAAATGTTTAAAAAAAAAAAAACAAAAAAAACAACATATTATATAAAGTTTCATGTAACATCATTTATCCTTTCCAGGATACACTTTAACCAAACAACACTTAATGAAAAAAAAAACACATTATGCTAAAATTTAGAAAGAATTGTGCATACTTACTTACTTGCTAGAATAGTAAAAGATACCAATGGAATGTAACCAAGGATCAGGAACATATGCCCACACCAAGAAAATAACTGTTTGTACAACAAAGTAACATAATATAAGAAAAGGAAGAGCTTTCAAGAATCTCTTAGTTTGTCATCACTATAAGACGTTTATGAAACGTAACAAATAGTCAAAAATATTTGATAAAAAAAAACATTTAGTAAAAAGTGTAAAGAAGGAAGAATACATGTGGCAACAACAGTTGAAATGGCTCCTACAAACCCATAAACTTCAGAAGGGTTAGGACCATGGTCTCCTGAAACACCAACACCTGAAGTCCTTTTGTTGTCTGTTTCAAAAACAGAGAAAGTTGTTCCCCTGTTTCTAGAATAACTAAGAGTCCTTCTAGGGCTATTGAAAGAACGTTGATCTTCCATTGCCTTTTATACAAAAAAAAAATATATATATATATATATATATATATATATATATATATATATATATATTCATTACTCAAATACCAAATACGCATTTCTAGAAACAATGACTAATCAAATACTAAAACCTTATTCCTAATTGTTGTAAGCTTAATGTACAAAAAACTTCATGTTCTTGCAGATTCAAAGTCAAAATCATATTTAAAGGTCAAGCATCATACAGATTCAAATAACTCCTATATGTGGTGCAATATGATTATCAAATTTATCGTTGCATACGTTAAAGAACATAATTTACAATTAGAAATTTACCCAATAATGAACAATTGATATCAATTCCTAAATAATGATACTCTTTTCCAAGAAAAAAAGATCATTTGAATAAGGACCTTTCTCCAAAAAGAAAAAGAAAAAGAAAATCATCCCAAATAATGAAAAGTCTACTGTAGAATGTGATTATTAAGTAAACAGAGTAAATAACTGAACCACCAAATTAAAGATGAACAATAAACCTTGAACAACTACCCAAACCTGAGATACGTTTTTACAATAAAAAAGGTGAACGAAAAATTCATACTAACAGAACACAAATCGAAAGATATTAACTGCCCTTGTTCACGAAAATTTTCCCTTGGTTAAGCAAGAAATCAGTTAAATAGTAGCTTAGGTTCATACACAAAAGATGCTGCATCAATTAGAAGGAAAAAAAAAAAAAAAAAACTATGGAATCAATTCTTTTTCCGAGGCATTCGTGAGTCATTTTAGATCCATTCAAAAGAGGTGAATAACAGGGTTTTGACAACACTTACGATCAGCCAGTGAATGTGGAAACCTTGAGTCGTTGCCGGAGCCGACCACCGTCCACTCTTTGTAATCGTTGTCTATATCTTTAATATTACATGGGTTTTGAGGGGATCGTTTAGTAATCAGGGATAGTTCAGCCTAGGGTATTTTGAATTTTCAATATTGAATATATCGTCAAGAAAGTAGGGAATAAAAGATAACACAGACAAAATCAATTGTAGGGTGTGGTGGTGACGACGGATAGGGTTTATGGAGGGCAGCGACTGATGATGACGGTGGAGAAGGTGGTGGTGGTTGTTGTAGTTGGCGGTAGGTGGTGGAGAATGAGGCGAAAGATGGCGACCGATGGGTTTCTTTGAAAGCGAAAATCTGGAAAAGTTTATAATTTTCTAATGAATTATCATGTGGGCCAAGCCTAAGGTTATATACTTTATGGTAGTTAGTTGTCCTTTAACTTGAGTCGCTTAGTAGGCCTAAGGTTATATACTTATATGTTCGTTCAGATTTGCTAGTTGGGTCCACTCATCTAGGTTGTGAGTCTGGGATTGTATTTTGATATCAAGTCCGAATCCGGCTTTTATGGTGTACCGAGTTTGGGCTTGACTAGTTGGTGAGATAATACACTACTAACAACAAATAATTTGATACATTACATGTAAATATGTATCATAATTAACATAAATCTCTTACATGTGGTCAATAAAATATTAAAACGCCATGTCTAGCAAATAAATGGAAAATAACATTGACTATGGTTCTAAAGTATAATTGTTACGTCGTTTAAAAAAAACATTTAAACAAGTGGAAGAAATAGTAAAATACATACCGCAAAGTCTACATGAGATGAACCATTATATTTTATTGGAATTAACTACGCTTCATGTTCTCATCCATTATAAAAGTTTGAGTAAATTACAAAAATGTCTACGGTTTACAATCAAAATATCAGATTTAGAGTAATTTTGGATTTTTGCTTTATGATTTGGTGTTCTCTGGGGATAATCACTTCATAGGTGATTCAACTATGTTATATGTATATATTCAATCACTTATTTTATTTTATTTTTACATTTACCATTTTGACTATTAATAGCCGGTCTAAGCTAGTTTCTAACAACCCTAGCAGCTCAAGCGACTCCCCAGTTGTCTTCTCCAGCCAAAAATACATCATGTAAGGATGATTCACTAGCAAGATGAAATTACTCTTTTTAGCATAGCAATTTAATATCCATCAAACTCATTCATATTCATCAAAAGATGGAAAGTCTGTCAAAGGAGAGATATATATGTAATTTTGATGTCGAAGAAATTGAATACAAAATTTATCAATGAGAAAATATAATATAAAACTTGAAAAATGAAGAATGTTTATGTATAGACGTAAAAGTAAAACTTGAAAAATAAACTTATCACCATATTAGAAATGCATGCAATGTTTAAATCTGAAGTACTCAATTTTAATAGTATGTTAGCAGGGTTACACTACACATTAGAATGGTCAGAGTTAGACTAAAAAGGAAGAATCGTTTTTGTCCATAGACTAGGCTAGTTTTCATTTAAGAAATTGACAAGTGGAATTAAGTTATCAAATAGATAACCTGGTTCAGAGAAGTGGATTTAAGGAAGAATCGTTTGGAGTAAGGGTTTAACTACGCAATTAGGGTGTAACGCCCCAAAAACATTGATAAATTTGTTCATTAAAAATTAACCAATAGTTTCATTCCTCAAATAATTCCAAGTCAATCACAAAGTACAATATCCAAAACATCATAGTACAAATTATCTAAATGGTGCGGAAATCGTGAGGGGAGGATGTTATTGTTGGATTAGTGTCTAAGTCCATAACTATTTTGGTATGTACTTGACCCGATTATGAGCATGGTCCTTTTGGGTTGCCTTCACCATAGCAATATGTAGGATGAATTAAGGAGAGAAAGGTTTAATTATGATTTATTAATATATTATAAGAATAATATATTAAAGGAGAAATCATATTGTTTAATTAATATTAGTCAAGAATTAATTAAGAATTAATTTTGTGACTAAAAGAGATTAATTAAACTTAGGGGACTGGAGTTGTAATTATAAGATAATTACAATTGGGCTATGGATCACCTAATAATATATAGGTTGGACGAATTCTATGGGAAGCCCATAAGGAATTCGTCCAAGGGATATGTTAAAGGAGTCCATGGGCTGCTTAGGGCCTAAGCAGTCAGATTAGGGTTTCCTAGTTGCAAACCCTAATAGCCTACATGTATATAAAGGACCCCTATGCCCCAAAAACGTGGCTAAGTGTTCCTTTACAACATCCCTCTTCTAGGTTGTAGAATATTGTGTTGGATCCTAGCCTTGATGTTTCATTTGGGTGTTACATCAAGGACTCTTATCAACTAACTTGAATTTTCTCCCGTTTTGTAGATGTCTAAATCTTACAATGGTCTTCCCAAGTCCCTTGGAACAAGCTTTCCAAATGAAGATGACGTTCCACGATACGATCAAGGAAATGAGAGTCATGCTTCACTTCCTCCACCTCCTCCAATTATTCTCCCTAACCCACAAGTTCAAAGGCTTGAAAAGTTCAAGCTCACTCAAGCCCTATTGGCAAGTAAACACGAAGATTGGAAACCTGTGTGTGCACACGTCTTGGAGATAAAGTCACACATTGACAGGTTAAGGATGTTGGGTGTCGAGATTTCAGGTGAGTTGGCTGTTGACTGGGTTCTTCAGTCGCTTCCTGAATCATATAGTGAGTTCGTTAGAGAGTACTATATGATGAACCATGACGTGACCCTTATTGATTTGACCTATTTGCTTATAGCTGCTAAATCAGCAATGATTTTGCATGCTGATCAAGCAAATTTGTCTGGTGAATCAAACTCTCAAACTTCAATGGACATTGAAAATGATGACATTGGAAATCCAGAAAAGGTAAATTCTGAGATAGTTCCTTGTGCCATTCCAAAAGAGTCCATTTGCTTCTATTGCCAAGAGAAGGGGCATTGGAGACGAAGCTGCTCTGTTTACCTGAGAGATCTAAGAGATTGGAGAGTCGAGACGTATGGCTCTACTTCAGGTAAAATCCATTAACTAACTCTATAAGTTCCTATTCTTTGATTCTTAATATGTGATGTGATGAGATTACATTTTTAAGTTTTGCAGGATTGAAGAAAAAAGAGGAAGCTTAAGGAAGAAGCGTGCTGAATCTGATCATGAAGAAATGGATTTCGATCGCATGGATTCGAAGATCAGATTTTTGAGCTGCTACTCTAGAGTTAGGATAGATTGATAAGAAATATGTAATAGCATAGTTTTTCAGTTGAATTGCATTGTAAGGACAAATTTTTTCCGCAATAATATAAATTTTGATTTTGTCTTATTTATTTATCCTTGCAATGGTGTGTATGAAAAATTGATGTTTAATTGTTTCTATTATTAGCAATAATGGATTTGATTCTCAATTATGTTATTTGTGGAAATGTCGAGAATTTGCCAAATAAAGGAAAATTCTCATCGCCCAAGTTTCAATTGGACATAAACTTGGAATCATACAACTTGGTTGCGTGATGAATGAGAAGCTTCATATTTGGAAATTAGACTATTTTTGACAAAGTGTCGAGAGAAGGACTAGGAGATCAAGTACACTAAGTTGTGCGTTGATCAAGTCCACCACAAGAGTGATAAAGATATTCGTCATGATTTACTAAAGTTTAGTAAATATGGTTATACTTATAAGATTAAGTATAATTCTGAGTTGATTAAAAGAGTTTCAATCAATAGCAGAACGAATAAGAAGAATCTAGTAGGCAGAAAGATAAAAGTTTCTCTATTCTAAGAAGAAGGGAGAGTAACTTTTATTGTGTTTTATGATAGGTCTTAATGATTAAGAACCATGTCTCAATTGATCCTATAAGTGAGTCTTAGTGCAATTGCATGTTTAAGAAGAGGAATCGAGAATTGTAGAAATTATTAAATCAAGAAGTCAATCATACTTCGTTCCAATATCAAGTCTTAAGAGTCATACTCCAAGATTGTGACTTGAGTGACAAGTCTTAAGTAGGTTTATAACACTCGTCAAATGTGGAATTTGGAAAAGTTTTCTTATTCTTGCACATTTGAAATTGGTAAGTTGTGATGTCTTGGATAAGACAAAGACCAACCAAGACCAGTTGTGTGAAGTGTTAAACTTGACAAAAGGCTACACTAACTCTTGAATATTTGTTTGTCAACAAATGTTTCTTGACAAGAGAATCTTATATGTCAAGGAGTCAGTGGGAGTCTTAATGGTCTTGAAAAGTTTCAAGAACAAATCAAGAATAAACCTAGTTGATCATCACTAGCGCACGACTTGAGGTTTATAACCTATCGTGTTGACATTATTTTGTTTATGTGCCATTAAGCTAAATATGTATGTGAGTTCTATGTGTTCTCATTTGAATGCATAAAGACAAAGCACCTTGATCAATGGAAAGTACATTGATATGTAAGGGTGAGTTGCTAAACCACTTGGAAGACATGGTGGGCACTCGTGTTACCATGAGGCAAGAAATCAAGATTGAACAAGTTCAGTCCATATGGTTTTGGATTTGTCGCAAACTTTCGTTTTGACGAATTCACATGGATAGGAACACATACACCATAAAGTCTAAGTGACATAAGGTTTCCCTCCTTCATGAAAATGATTGTGAGGAAATGCTTTCACTAAGATAGATTTTAAGAAGACAGCAATTGTGAAAATTGTATTCTCAAATTCGATTATGATTACGGCATCCCTCTTCATAGTTCGAATTGTGGGAACAGGGCACATAAAATATCATGGCAGAAGGCTGATAAAGTATCACGTCTTTATATGAGACATTATGCAACGTGTCCAATACGTTTCGGGTATAGGATCAATTGCATATGCTATAATATTTGACCATTCTAAGTATTTCCAAATGCCTAGGGCATTTAGAGGGAAAAAGGACTAGAACTGGATTTGACTAAAATAATTAAACAACTATCAAAGGATGATCTAAGGTTCACCAAGGATTAGTCATTTATGAGTAGTTGGAAGTATAGTATTGGATGGACTATATTGACATTATTATAAATAGATAAGATTCTATTTAGAATGAGTTATCATATAGCAAATATGGAAATGTTTCCATAAATGGGAGTTGGAAATTAAGAATCTATGTAGATTAGAAACTTTTATGCAAAAGGATGTTCGAAGGAATGTACTTTGAGTGAGAGACATCACATCTATAGAATTGTTTTGTAACAATTTCTGATAGAGAACTTAGTAATTTCATTAGCCAAGTCCTGGTGACTTTTGTACTATGAGTTTACGAAAGGCTCGTTGCATAAAATGTTAGAATCTAACATATTCTAATAGTGGCAAGAACCTTGTATTCTTACACTAATGATAAGGATTAGGGATTGTGAAATGAGTTTCATTGGAAAAGGTTTTCAATTGATCTATTTTTTCAAAGCATGGACCATAGGAAACCAAAGTGTGCATGCTTGGAGCATGGGACAATTGTGGTTATAATTCGAGTAATAAAGTTGATTTTCCGAAACATTAAACAATGAATAATGAGTAATCAATATGGTGACTAAATAAAAGATGTTTTATTTATGCTCAAGAGTTTGGGGTCATGTGGGATTGAGTATTATCGTTGTGTTTCACTTTGCATGTTTTGACTTCTAGAATAACTGGGTTATTCAAACCTCCACAGTCGGTCATACGTTGGAAGTAGGTATGAAGCAAGACTGTCATGAATCTGTCTGTAGATTGTCTAAAGTGTTTAGACATAGCACAAGTTTGCTGTAGATTCACGAGTGCTTTAATAAGATTAAAGTATTTGACTAAACCCACGCTCACTTGAATCACTTCATGGATTTATCACGGGTGATTAGTGAGACGATAATATTGTATATTCTTGAAACCGAGACGTGTGAGTTGTTATTTGCTGGTTGGTTGCACATTGATGATAAGTAAACGCACCAGTAACTTGGTGTTATAAAACTTATTGTTGTGTGTGATTCGATTAGTAGGTGCAAGCTAGCATTTGAGTCGAAGTTTATCCATTCCTTTTACCCAAAGTGGGATAAAAGCGATATATGTGGGCCCCTCGATGATTTAGTGATGACACCCTAAGTGTTTGGCCAAGCCGGGACTAAGTTGAT